GGCCCGGGGCCCTTAGCATTGGGAAAAATAATGGAGTTTTCCTTAGAATTGGGAAAACATCAGGTCTAAATAGGGAAAAAAAAGATATTTTGCATTGGGAATGGGGCCTATTTCGGCCCCAAATCTGGCAGATTGAGAGCCCTGTCTTGTTTAAATTGAGTTTGGATTTGATCATGTTCACACATATCTTTTTTCTTGTTGTTTATTTTTCTGAAATGATTCCAGAATTAAAATATATTTTGTGGAATTTGCAATAGAATATTGTAAGATATTGGTTTCCATTTACATAATTCACTTGAAGAAAACAATTCATTTTGAATTCGAAAATGAACAAACCTGAAATGAAACTTTTCTGAATAGGAACCACCTCCCTGTAATCGCTTTATAACCTATATAATGAACCTGTATTGAGAGGCCACCAGCCTTGGACAACCTTGATACCTTTCAGTTATGGTTATTGAATATGTGTTAAGAGACCACATGCCTGTGACCACTTCAGTATCTTCCAGTTGTGCTGATAATGGGCCTGAATGATGCCAGAATGATGGGCTACCAATTTTGTTCATATTACTGACCTTGGCCATTATTCAAGGTCACAAAAGGTTTAGGGTGTTGATATTTGGCCTGTAGTATGCTGCAATGAAGGGTTACCAACTTTGTTCATGTGATTGTCCTTTTCACTTTTGAAAGGTCACAGGGATGTGTTAAAGTCTTCAAATGACTTTTTTATTATAACAAAAAAACAATATGATTTCAAGTTCGGAGAAAATGTATTGATGAACCATCGATGTCTTCTTTGTAAGCTGTAGAGAAGTTGATCAATTTATTCTTATTTCCGCCCCTTTTCATATAAAGGTCTTTATAGTCAGATGACCATTAAAGCCCATAAACCTCTTGTTTATTTTCCATTCTGTGTTCGTACTCTATATTGGCATTGTGGTATATCATTTCTGTGGATATTGTTTTAACATACTTGTATGTATATACATAATGATAAAGAAATGAACACAATTAGTTAAGGCCCCTACTTAATAACAGAGAAGTAGAATCATTCTCAAGGTATGCAATTGATATACGTTGACAACTTCATAAATATTAATTTTTTTACATCGCAAGCATATAAACTACACTGAACTAATGTCCCAGGTACATTTGATGGTCTGGCAAGAGCCAGTTTCTCAGAATGGTATTGATAGAATTGTTAACATCAATCTGTGTGTATAATTATATATCAAATGTCTAAGTAAATTTGCTTTGGGGTACTGCAGCAGATACTTTTGGGGATCTTTCTCAAATTGCATATGAAGGTTCCCCTTGGTCCCTAGTTGTGCCTGTTTGATTTTGGGACTGATAAAAATACAAGATATCCAACAGGCGGCCATCTTGGATTTTTCCAGTGAAGTTTGTTATCGCTATTTCTTGCGAACTTCTGTATAGATCTTTCTCAGATTTCATATATAGATTCCTTTAGGTCCCTAGATGTGCCTGTGTGAGTTTGGAACTGGTCTGAAAAATAAATTTGTTGACAGGCAGCCATCTCGGATTTTGCCTTGTAAAGATTGTTACTGCTATTTCTGAAGAAGTACTGAATGGATATCTCTCAAATTACATATGTATGCTCCCTTTGATCTCTCCTTGTGCTCGTTTGCTTTTGGGAGTGATCTGAAGAAACAAAATGGCTTCCAGGTGGCCATTTTGGATTTGGCAGGTAAAGATTATTATTTATTTTTGCAAAGGAATGTTCAGATGTCTTATCATTAAGAGCAAAAACCGAGAAGAGAAAAGAAGGTAAAAGATCCAACTTTCAAAGAGCATATAAAGATCAAACAATGGTGAGTGCCAAGATCCCTCTGGGATCTCTTGTTTCTGATTCCAAGTGATTTGAAGGCGAAACTTAGGAGACTGAAGTTTATACTTGCAAGGGTTTTCTTTTTTGTTGAAGCTACCTTAGTAAAGGGAAGAGGCTTAAGTACTGCAAAGTGGAGCAGGATATGTTGGGTAGGCTTATGAATACATTAAGATTTCTTCCTCTTCTGTCCTTCATGCACCATATGATGACTGTGGCGATCATATATCTGGATAGATAAAAAGATTGTAAACATGACTCGTATGTAAGGTCATCATTAGCCCCGAGGTCGAAGTCACCAATACAGAAATGGTGATAAAGAAAACCAACTTGGGTTTATTAACCTCACTAAGTATGTAATTCATTCACATAAGTTGTTTACTAAATGTATCTGGTGAATCCAATCATTAATTCTGTTATGAATTATACCATGTTTTTACTCATAATCATTAAAGATTTGATGATACGACTTCGTATAGTTTGGAGTGGCCTGTTAAGGCCATAGGTGTAGGCCATAGGTCAGTACATCAATCACAAGTGTAATTGTCTCAGGTAAGTGACGTATGATGGATATGGAGTGACAGGTAATTATGTTACCTGTGTAAACACAAAGAGTATTGCCCCTTAAGTGTATTACTCAGGTAGGAAACAAGGCATGTGCAGCCATTCCGTACTTGTTCTGATGTAATGGCAGCCAAGCTGACAAGCTTTATCAGGAATATATGTAAAATGTGACCTCAAAAAGAATTTCAATGTTTCATCAAAACTGGACAGTACATGGATTATGGACAATATTTGGTATGTTATGTTGCTACTGTAAAGATATATTATAGTCACTTGTGTATAATGACAATGTAACTCTATACTCTTTGTTGCTTATCGATCACATCCTCTTTACTAATACTATGTCACCATCATAAAACAGCATGGAAGTAACTGGTCAGTTCTGACAGTTTGAGGTAGCTGGTCAGTACTGACAGTTTGAGGTAGCTGGTCAGTGCTGACTGTTTAGAGGTAGCTGGTCAGTGCTGGCTGTTTGGAGGTAGCTGGTCAGTACTGACAGTTTGAGGTAGCTGGTCAGTGCTGACTGTTTAGAGGTAGCTGGTCAGTGCTGGCTGTTTGGAGGTAGCTGGTCAGTACTGACTGTTTAGAGGTAGCTGGTCAGTGCTGGCTATTTGGAGGTAGCTGGTCAGTGCTGACTGTTTGAGGTAGCTGGTCAGTGCTGGCTGTTTGGAGGTAGCTGGTCAGTGCTGACTGTCTGGAGGTAGCTGGTCAGTGCTGACTGTTTGAGGTAGCTGGTCAGTACTGACAGTTTGAGGTAGCTGGTCAGTGCTGGCTGTTTGAGGTAGCTGGTCAGTTCTGGCTGTTTGGAGGTAGCTGGTCAGTACTGACTGTTTGGAGGTAGTTGGTCAGTGCTGACTGTCTGGAGGTAGCTTGTCAGTACTGACTGTTTGGAGGTAGCTGGTCAGTGCTGACTGTTTGAGGTAGCTGGTCAGTACTGACAGTTTGAGGTAGCTGGTCAGTGCTGACTGTTTAGAGGTAGCTGGTCAGTGCTGGCTGTTTGAGGTAGCTGGTCAATTCTGGCTGTTTGAGGTAGCTAGTCAGTACTGACTGTTTGGAGGTAGTTTGTCGGTACTGACTGTTGGGTGGTAGCTTGTCGGTACTGACTGTTGGGTGGTAGTTTGTCAGTACTGACTGTTGGGTGGTAGCTTGTCAGTACTGACTGTTGGGTGGTAGTTTGTCGGTACTGACTGTTGGGTGGTAGTTTGTCGGTACTGGTTGTTGGGTGGTAGTTTGTCGGTACTGACTGTTGGGTGGTAGTTTGTCGGTACTGGTTGTTGGGTGGTAGTTTGTCGGTACTGGTTGTTGGGTGGTAGTTTGTCGGTACTGACTGTTGGGTGGTAGTTTGTCGGTACTGACTGTTGGGTTGTAGTTTGTCAGTACTGGTTGTTGGGTGGTAGTTTGTCGGTACTGACTGTTGGGTGGTAGTTTGTCAGTTCTGGTTGTTGGGTGGTAGTTTGTCGGTACTGACTGTTGGGTTGTAGTTTGTCAGTACTGGTTGTTGGGTGGTAGTTTGTCGGTACTGACTGTTGGGTGGTAGTTTGTCAGTTCTGGTTGTTGGGTGGTAGTTTGTCGGTACTGACTGTTGGGTGGTAGTTTGTCGGTACTGGTTGTTGGGTGGTAGTTTGTCGGTACTGGTTGTTGGGTGGTAGTTTGTCGGTACTGACTGTTGGGTGGTAGTTTGTCGGTACTGACTGTTGGGTTGTAGTTTGTCAGTACTGGTTGTTGGGTGGTAGTTTGTCGGTACTGGTTGTTGGGTGGTAGTTTGTCGGTACTGGTTGTTGGGTGGTAGTTTGTCGGTACTGACTGTTGGGTGGTAGTTTGTCAGTTCTGGTTGTTGGGTGGTAGTTTGTCGGTACTGGTTGTTGGGTGGTAGCTTGTCAGTACTGACTGTTGGGTGGTAGTTTGTCGGTACTGGTTGTTGGGTGGTAGTTTGTCGGTACTGACTGTTGGGTGGTAGTTTGTCAGTACTGACTGTTGGGTGGTAGTTTGTCAGTACTGGTTGTTGGGTGTTAGTTTGTCAGTGCTGACTGTTGGGTGTTAGTTTGTCAGAACTGGCTGTTTGGAGGTAGCTAGCTGGTCAGTACTGGCTGTTTGGAGGTAGCTGGTCAGTACTGGCTGTTTGGAGGTAGCTGGTCAGTACTGACTGTTTGGCGTTAGTTTGTCAGTACTAACAGTTAGATGGTAGTTTGTCAGTACAGAGTGTTTGGATGTAGCTGGTCAGTACTGACTGTTTGAGGTAGCTGGTCAGTACTGACTGTTGGGCGTTAGTTTGTCAGTACTAACAGTTAGATGGTAGTTTGTCAGTACAGAGTGTTTGGATGTAGCTGGTCAGTACTGGCTGTTTGGAGGTAGCTGGTCAGTACTGACTGTTGGGAGTTAGTTTGTCAGTACTAACAGTTAGATGGTAGTTTGTCAGTACAGAGTGTTTGGATGTAGCTGGTCAGTACTGACTGTTTGAGGTAGCTGGTCAGTACTGGCTGTTTGGAGGTAGCTGGTTATGATGTTTGGTATCATACTAAATATTATTTTTTTACAGATAATTTTAGAAAACACCTTTTATTGAAAAGCCTTTATATGTTCATTGTTTCAGGGCAATGCCAGCCAACGAGAGATGATGTCTGGCCAGCACAACTGGTATGCCTGTTCACATGCTAGACCAACTTACTGTAATGTTTGCCGTGAGGCACTGTCTGGAGTTACCTCCCATGGGCTTTCATGCGAAGGTGTGTCATTGAAATTTATTTATTTCCTTTTTCACAGGTAAAAAAATTTGGAAAATGATATTTGAAACAGAATTTTTAACTGAGAAAAATACATGTTTTGAATAAATTTAAGATCAACAAAGATTACGTTAGATACATGATACTTTATATTTGTGCTGCAGAAAAACTTTTTGTTATTAAAATAAAATTGTGAAAGACATAAAGAAAATAAATGTGGTCTTGTCATAAGCCTTCATCAAGTCCTCATTTTCATAAAAATGAAATATCAGTAAGGCTTGTTATGTTTTAATACCAATTACATATAGCATGTTATAATCATATGTATAGTAACACATAACGACTAAAGGTTCCCAATGTTTCAATTGTAATATATAACTCGTGGCATCATAAAATTTGTGACTTGATGAAAACAAGATATAGGCAGAGAATTTAACCTAGTTAGATTTCATATTGGTCCTGATAAAATGCTGTTTTCTTGAATGTGTTAAAGTTCAATTGTAGTATCTTCTATCTGTTTCCATTTTATATGATAGATTTTCTCCATTATTATCAGATGTTTATGATATATCTGTTAAACTTTAAGAGGATTACATGAAAGACGTGAATGGCTTATTTCAATACCGACTTAAGAGTTAGATAGAGTTTAGAATTTAACTACATCACACAGCTGTTCATTTTGTCTCTCTACGACTTGTCAGTGATGCTGAGGGCCTTAATTTTGAAACCTGAAAGGGAAATCAAAATTGATTAAAGAGAAATATTAAGATCTAGATGGGGAGGTGCACTAGGCCTAGAATTCAATATATTTGATATTTCAATATTGCATGATTTAAAGAAATGTCAAGTTGATGTATATGAACAGTTGACAATCCTGATAAATTAATCATTTAGGTTGTAGTGATGTAATGTTGACGTCATATCTTCAGGACACAACTCTGTCTTTAAAGAAACATGTTACAAAAATGGAAGGTTGCCATGTATTCTAGGGCAGCTTTATATAAATTACGTAAGCAACATCACCATGTGACATGATCCCTTCACATCAAATAGTCCCTAAGTTTGGTGTGTATGTGGAGGTTGAACTGATGCTAGTTACTGAGTAAGCATCAAATTTACTGTTTGTAGTCAATGGGAGAGTAATTCATGTCAACAGCTACAACCTTGCTGATTTAACTGTTCAAATATAAAAAAATTATTTTCAAAGATGAGCAAGAGACAGCTTTGGTAAAGTTTTGTAAGCGTGACAACATTAACAGACGAACACTTAAATGTAAAAATAAAAATAAGTAGGTAGGGAGTGAACATAATATCTACAAATAGAGTTATTATATTTATTTTTATCTTTTTACAGAAATAAACAAAAGTGAAAACAATTTACACTGTACTGAAATTCATGTTTGCTTGATTTGTAAATAAATATTAGGTGTAACACTGTAGCTTGGTTAGTATGAAGGTAAAAAAAGATTAAAAAGCAGTATAAGCCTTGATCAATTTACTTAGTGGCTATACCTCTTCGTGCTCTTTGTAAAAAGACCATGATCAACAGAAAATACTGTATGCCGGCTAAAAGTTAACATATCCATTTGTCTGTCCATTTGTCTGTCCGTTTGTCTGTCCATTTGTCTGTCCTGTTTGTATTTTTGTCCTGTTTGTTTACCCTGCTTTGTTCTTTAAGAAGTTTTATTTGTTTATCTGTCTATTTATACTCGGTTTACCAGAATATTTATTTTATTATAATATAGCTAAACGTGTCAGTATGTTGAAAGAGAGGCCTCTGCGTGATGGTGTTCAGCTGTTTGGGGACTGATCCCAGAGCTCCTCAACCCTGGCAGCCTCCTTTAAATTAATTGCTGAGGAAATAAATATTTTTCTAAACCAAAAAAAAAGTTAACCTATCATAATTCAGAATAAAAGCATCTGTAAGTAACATATATGACACAGAAGAATGCTGTAACTGACAAGAAGTGACTTCAATGAAAGATGATGTTTGTTTTCTTTGTTACAGTGTGTAAGTTCAAAGCTCATAAGCGCTGTGCCGTGAAGGCTGCAGCCAACTGCAAGTGGGCAACCTTGGCAGCTATTGGGAAGGACATCATTGAGGATGAGGATGGGGTAAGGGTCAGAGGTCAAAGGCAAATTCCATGTCATGCCAAATAAGGGTCAAGGGTCAAAGACTTATTCTTATGTGTAACACCATAGATTGTTAAGCATTTAACTCTCTGTCATTCACAGCTATTTTCTTTAAAAAGATGACGTCTTGAAAAACTATTTACTGGATATTTTGTTTCATGACTATCATAAAATACAGCTATGTAACAGTTGGTGGTTGATTTTATACAATACTAAAATATTCCCAATTTTAATTTTATAATCTTATAGAAAGACCAAAATCAGGGGACACTTAAGCTAACAATGACTTCACAATACTGACTTTGTAAGTGAAATGTGTTTTGATTAATGAGTTTATACTTATGATTACAGATTGCTATGCCACATCAATGGTTAGAAGGAAACCTGCCTGTTAGTGCTAAATGTAATGTATGTGATAAAACATGTGGAAGTGTGCTCAAGGTTCAAGACTGGCGATGTCTTTGGTGTAAAGCCATGGTAAGTTTGTCCCAATCACTCAAACCTCTTAGTAACCATGTAATGTCATGGTAAGTCTATCCCAATCACTCAAACTTACTAGTAACCATGTAAAGTCATGGTAATTCACTCAAACCTCCTGGTAACCATGTAAAGTCATGGTAATTCACTCAAACCTCCTGGTAACCATGTAAAGCCACGGTAAGTCCATCCCAATCACTCAAACTTACTAGTAACCATGTAAAGCCATGGTAAGTCTATCCCAATCACTCAAACCTCCTGGTAACCATGTAAAGTCATGGTAGGTCTATCCCAATCACTTAAACTTACTAGTAACCATGTAAAGTCATGGTAAGTCTATCCCGATCACTCAAACCTCCTGGTAACCATGTAAAGTCATGGTAAGTCTATCCCAATCACCCAAACTTACTAGTAACCATGTAAAGTCATGGTAAGTCTATCCCAATCACTCAAACTTACTAGTAACCATGTAAAGTCATGGTAAGTCTATCCCAATCACTCAAACCTCCTGGTAACTATGTAAAGTCATGGTAGGTCTATCCCAATCACTCAAACTTACTAGAAACCATGTAAAGTCATGGTAATTCACTCAAACCTCCTGGTAACCATGTAAAGTCATGGTAATTCACTCAAACCTCCTGGTAACCATGTAAAGTCATGGTAAGTCTATCCCAATCACTCAAACCTCCTGGTAACCATGTAAAGTCATGGTAATTCACTCAAACCTCCTGGTAACCATGTAAAGTCATGGTAAGTCCATCCCAATCACTCAAACTTACTAGTAACCATGTAAAGTCATGGTAATTCACTCAAACCTCCTGGTAACCATGTAAAGTCATGGTAGGTCTATCCCAATCACTCAAACTTACTAGAAACCATGTAAAGTCATGGTAATTCACTCAAACCTCCTGGTAACCATGTAAAGCCATGGTAAGTCTATCCCAGTCACTCAAACTTACTAGTAACCATGTAAAGCCATGGTAAGTCTATCCCAGTCACTCAAACTTACTAGTAACCATGTAAAGCCATGGTAAGTCTATCCCAGTCACTCAAACTTACTAGTAACCATGTAAAGCCATGGTAAGTCTATCCCAGTCACTCAAACTTACTAGTAACCATGTAAAGCCATGGTAAGTCTATCCCAATCACCCAAACTTACTAGTAACCATGTAAAGTCATGGTAATTCACTCAAACCTCCTGGTAACCATGTAAAGTCATGGTAATTCACTCAAACCTCCTGGTAACCATGTAAAGTCATGGTAAGTCTATCCCAATCACTCAAACCTCCTGGTAACCATGTAAAGTCATGGTAAGTCTATCCCAATCACTCAAACCTCCTGGTAACCATGTAAAGTCATGGTAATTCACTCAAACCTCCTGGTAACCATGTAAAGTCATGGTAATTCACTCAAACCTCCTGGTAACCATGTAAAGCCATGGTAAGTCTATCCCAGTCACTCAAACTTACTAGTAACCATGTAAAGTCATGGTAAGTCTGTCCCAATCACTCAAACTTACTAGTAACCATGTAAAGTCATGGTAAGTCTATCCCAATCACTCAAACCTCCTGGTAACCATGTAAAGTCATGGTAAGTCTATCCCAATCACTCAAACTTACTAGTAACCATGTAAAGTCATGGTAAGTCTATCCCAATCACTCAAACTTATTAGTAACCATGTAAAGTCATGGTAATTCACTCAAACCTCCTGGTAACCATGTAAAGTCATGGTAATTCACTCAAACCTCCTGGTAACCATGTAAAGTCATGGTAAGTCTATCCCAATCACTCAAACTTACTAGTAACCATGTAAAGTCATGGTAAGTCTATCCCAATCACTCAAACCTCCTGGTAACCATGTAAAGTCATGGTAAGTCTATCCCAATCACTCAAACTTATTAGTAACCATGTAAAGTCATGGTAAGTCTATCCCAATCACTCAAACTTATTAGTAACCATGTAAAGTCATGGTAAGTCTATCCCAATCACTCAAACTTACTAGTAACCATGTAAAGTCATGGTAAGTCTATCCCAATCACTCAAACTTATTAGTAACCATGTAAAGTCATGGTAAGTCCATCCCAATCACTCAAACTTACTAGTAACCATGTAAAGTCATGATAAGTCTATCCCAATCACTCAAACTTATTAGTAACCATGTAAAGTCATGGTAAGTCTATCCCAATCACTCAAACTTATTAGTAACCATGTAAAGTCATGGTAAGTCTATCCCAATCACTCAAACTTATTAGTAACCATGTAAAGTCATTTTAATTCACTCAAACCTCCTGGTAACCATGTAATGTCATGGTAAGTCTATCCCAATCACTCAAACTTATTAGTAACCATGTAAAGTCATGGTAAGTCTATCCCAATCACTCAAACTTACTAGTAACCATGTAAAGTCATGATAAGTCTATCCCAATCACTCAAACTTATTAGTAACCATGTAAAGTCATGGTAAGTCTATCCCAATCACTCAAACTTACTAGTAACCATGTAAAGCCATGGTAAGTCTATCCCAATCACTCAAACCTCCTGGTAACCATGTAATGTCATGGTAAGTCTATCCCAATCGCCCAAACTTACTGGTAACCATGTAAAGTCATGGTAAGTCTATCCCAATCGCCCAAACTTACTAGTAACCATGTAAAGTCATGGTAGGTCTATCCCAATCACTTAAACTTACTGGTAACCATGTAAAGTCATGGTAAGTCTATCCCAATCGCCCAAACTTACTAGTAACCATGTAAAGTCATGGTAGGTCTATCCCAATCGCCCAAACTTACTGGTAACCATGTAAAGTCATGGTAATTCACTCAAACCTCCTGGTAACCATGTAAAGTCATGGTAATTCACTCAAACCTCCTGGTAACCATGTAAAGTCATGGTAAGTCTGTCCCAATCACTCAAACTTACTAGTAACCATGTAAAGTCATGGTAAGTCTATCCCAATCACTCAAACCTCCTTGTAACAATTCCTGTATGGATACACCATACCTGCCAAACTTGTCCCTCCTCAGTTTTCTCCGTTGATAATGAAGAAAAACACTAAGTAAAGTTCAATAAATCTACTTATACTAATTTTAGCACTTTATGGATGAATGGATTCAGAGTACCAGTGAAATCTGTGAAAATAAAACCTCTACCAAAATTAATGATTATACAGAAACTCCCAGTCTGTACCTTATCTTTATAATTGTTATATTTGAGATATTACTTTTCATTTGAAAACAGTGTTTTATAACGAACACAAGTTCACTACTGCAAATACATTATAAAACCACATGCAAAGATGGAATTTATCTGGAAAATATGGAATGGATTTCAGATTTTCAAAGCATTTGTTTATGTGGTTTGTATTGATTGATAAAATGCTTAATTGGATAAAATTCTATTTGAAGTGAATGCAACAGCACAATAAATTGAATTGAATTCAAGAATTTGAATATAACTTGATTAAGTGTAATTACAAAGAAACATTTTGTAAGTGATCAATAAGACTCTGGGATCCCTTGTCTCGGAATGAAGACATGCTGAAAATACATATCAATTACAAGTTATTTCTAAGGCTGAAAATCAATAAATAAGGAAACATCTGCTAAGTTAGGAAATATACAAAGAACTTTCTACAGTTAGGTTTCAACAGAAAAATGAAGAATGATGAAAAGACTATTGATCAGCTTTTGAATTTTCACGTTATGATGTTTTTGGATATTTGGTCTCTAAACAGAAATGATTTCTCAATGGAGTATTGTTTATGAACAATTTTGGGCTTAGATTAGTGGTCACAATAGAAAGAATTCCCAATAAATGGTCTGATGATGATATTGAACTGTATTAGAATGGTTACGATAATTTTCAAAATCAACTTGAGATTAGTGCCTTTTAAAAAATCAAGAATGAAAATACTGATATGCTAAAAGTACCATAATTCATATACAGATTGTGATATTCTATAGTGTATCACATACATAGCTCTCAGACATAACACATATTACATAGAGCATTATATTTAACCATGTATCACACACATAGCTCTCTGACATAACATACAATACAGATTGTGATATTCTCTAGTGTATCACACACATAGCTCTCTGACATAACACATATTACATAGAGCATTATATTTAACCATGTATCACACACATAGCACTCGGACATAACATACAATACAGATTGTTATATTTTATCATGTATCACACACATAGCTCTCTGACATAACATACAATACAGATTGTGGTATTCTCTAGTGTATCACACACATAGCTCTCTGACATAACACATATTACATAGAGCATTATATTTAACCATGTATCACACACATAGCTCTCTGACATAACATACAATACAGATTGTGATATTTAACCATGTATCACACACATAGCACTCGGACATAACATACAATACAGATTGTTATATTTAACCATGTATTACACACATAGCTCTCTGACATAACACATATTACATAGAGCATTATATTTAACCATGTATCACACACATAGCACTCTGACATAACATACAATACAGATTGTTATATTTTATCATGTATCACACACATAGCTCTCTGACATAACAGACAATACAGATTGTTATATTTAACTATGTATCACACACATAGCTCTCTGACATAACAGACAATACAAAGAGCATTATATTTAACCATGTATCACACACATAGCTCTCTGACATAACATACAATACAGATTGTTATATTTAACTATGTATCACACACATAGCTCTCTGACATAACACACAATACAGATTGTTATATTTAACCATGTATCACACACACAGCTCTCTGACATAACATACAGTACAGATTGTTATATTTTATCATGTATCACACACATAGCACTCTGACATAACATACAATACAGATTGTTATATTTAACCATGTATCACACACATAGCTCTCTGACATAACATACAATACAGATTGTTATATTTAACCATGTATCACACACATAGCTCTCTGACATAACATACAATACAGATTGTTATATTTAACTATGTAACACACACATAGCTCTCTGACATAACATACAATACAGATTATATTTAACCATGTATCACACACATAGCTCTCTGACATAACACATATATTTAACATATCACACACATAGCTCTCTGACATTATATTTAACCATGTATCACACACATAGCACTCTGACATAACATACAATACAGATTGTTATATTTTATCATGTATCACACACATAGCACTCTGACATAACATACAATACAGATTGTTATATTTAACCATGTATCACACACATAGCACTCTGACATAACATACAATACAGATTGTCATAACATACAATACAGATTATTTATATTGTTATATTTAACCATGTATCACACACATAGCTCTCTGACATAACATACAATACAGATTGTTATATTTAACCATGTATCACACACATAGCTCTCTGACATAACATACAATACAGATTGTTATATTTAACTATGTATCACACACATAGCTCTCTGACATAACATACAATACAGATTGTTATATTTAACCATGTATCACACACATAGCTCTCTGACATAACAGACAATACAGATTGTGATATTCTATAGTGTATCACACACATAGTTCAATGTCTACTCATTTTTACACAGGGTTTTTTAGTTCACTATGTTATAACAATAAAGAGCACGCACAGTGGACGTCCATATTAGTTCTATGTCTACTCAGTTTTACACAGGGTTTTTTAGTTCACTATGTTATAACAATAAAGAGCACACACAGAGGACATCCATATTAGTTCTATGTCTACTCAGTTTTACACAGGGTTTTTTAGTTCACTATGTTATAACAATAAAGAGCACACACAGAGGACATCCATATTAGTTCAATGTCTACTCAGTTTTACACAGGGTTTTTTAGTTCACTATGTTATAACAATAAAGAGCACACACAGTGGACATCCATATTAGTTCTATGTCTACTCAGTTTTACACAGGGTTTTTTAGTTCACTATGTTGTAACAATAAAGAGCTCACGACATGTAATAAAATATGTATGATTGACATTTTATGTAAACTTTTGTTTTATTTTTTTCATATTTAAATATAACAGATGTGAAATTAATTTATCAGACAAACCTATCTCTTGATATAAACTGGCATTTCAAATGCCACTCAACCACAAAACAAAACAGCCACTAGGAAAAAATGTCTGTTAAGCTGTTTATGTCAGATATTATCAAAGGGAAGAGATGATGGTTAAACTATTAATACATCAGTTAAAGAAAAAACATATGCATAATCCAAAGACTGCTTTATGAAAGTTTGTTTAATAAGTCACGAAAAACTTAATCTGTCTGTTATTTTGACAAAGCAGGGAAAGGTTAAATAAAAAACAAAAAACCATATGATTATTTTAGCCATCAGAGAAAGGTCTGGGAATCACATTGTATTACACAAAACAGTCTTTTATCTTCCTGATATAATCTGTCAAACACTATATGATGTTAATAGGAAAAATCTATGTCAGATGTATAGAGCTGGTTTACTTATAATTCTGATTCCATGGTGATTACAGGATTGTACAATTTAAATGTTGTTAGCATTAGTTGCCAAAGTTCTGACATTAAAACCTGATCTTAGAAACAGTCATTGAGATTAGTCAAGTGCTTTCTAGAGAAGAGAAGGAAACTTGAATGATAATGGAATAAAATCTTGATTGTGATGTTTAAGATTGAGTTCCTATAGTTGTTCTTTACATGTATTCAAACTTTGATAAATGATATCCAAGACTGAAATGACAACATTTCACAAAAAAATGTAACAATTTCATTAGAAATCTTATCTGTATACATTTTTATGCTCTCCGATAATTTTCAAGGAAGCATATAGTTGCTGCCTTGTTTGTCCATCCTTCCATCCATCCTTTCATATCCAGAGTACGACTTTGCCCAAAGTTAAACAAGGACCATGAAACTTTGTGTTAACATTGGTTGTATGAAAGTGTATCAAATTAAGAGCCCGGAACTCCTCAGTGACAGAGTTATTGACCTTTGTTAAAATTTTGTGACATGAGCGAAACGTTGCTTGCATTTAAACTAGGATAATGAAACTTAGTGTATACATTGTTAATAGTGAGAGAATGTACAGTATACTAAATTGGGGGCCTGCAACGCCATAATTTTGCCCTTTGTTAAAATTTTGTACCCAATAAAGAAGTTTTCAGGGAGAATTTATCTGTTTCACTTTTTCTATTTGATTTTCATTTTATTTTCAACAATATGATAACTATAGATGATGTCAAGAATGTAGTTGAGAGAATATTTTTCCCTTCCGCAAGAGATTTAAACAAGATAATGTTACAGGTGTAGGCTTTAAGAACTATTTCCTGTCTCAGTGTCTGTTATATATATATCATCATATTACAGGTTCATACAGGCTGTAAGGAGTACTTCCTGTCTCAGTGTCTGTTATATATATGTCAACATATTACAGGTTCATACAGGCTGTAAGGAGTACTTCCTGTCTTAGTGTCTATTATATATATATCATCATATTACAGGTTCATACAGGCTGTAAGGAGTACTTCCTGTCTTAGTGTCTATTATATATATATCATCATATTACAGGTTCATACAGGCTGTAAGGAGTACTTCCTGTCTCAGTGTCTGTTATATATATGTCAACATATTACAGGTTCATACAGGCTGTAAGGAGTACTTCCTGTCTTAGTGTCTATTATATATATGTCATCATATTACAGGTTCATACAGGCTGTAAGGAGTACTTCCAGTCCCAGTGTCCTTTAGGTCAATGTAAAGTGTCTATTCTACCTCCAATTGCCATCAATAACATAGATTCTGATGGTTACTGGGAGGCAACACGTCCTGCGGGAACTTCACCTCTCCTCGTCTTTGTCAACACGAAATCAGGCGACAATCAGGTATAGTACTTTTCAATTGACCTAAAATTCTTGTTGATAAAATTGATTGAAACCTGTTATCAGGAATGATTTCTCGAAGGAGATTGGTTAAGGCTATATGCTACCAGATATTTTGTGCTGATTTTATCTCCCTTTGATAAGGTAGTAAACTATTGAAAAAATGGTAAGAATTACAGTTAACACTGCTGTAAATTGTTTGTATAACACACGGATAAAAGTTAAAAATTTTATAGTACAATAGTGATTCCTTTATAATCTATGTTTCAGGGAGTTAAATTTTTACGACGGTTTAAGCAGCTATTAAATCCTGCTCAGGTGTTTGATCTCATGAATGGAGGACCTCACCCAGGGTAACTACTTTTTTTATCTCTAATTTGAGGACTTTCACCACATAAGGATTGTGACAAAGATTATTGATTTACATGTATCTATGTCTGAACCACATAAACTTTTATTTATATATATATTTTCCAACAATGGAAACAGGTTTTGACTAAGCTTAATCAATACCAGTATCATATCAGTGTTCAGTTCAAAGTTTACGTTGAGCACACTGTAAATATGGAATGTATCCACTTGGTAAATTTATGATAAATATAGAGAAATCATTTTATTTCAAGCACGTTCCTTCATGGCCTCCATACATTATACAATAGGTTTGTTTTATTGTGACTCTCCATCATTTCTTCTTGATCCTCGTTTAATTCTAGGTTAAGACTATTCCAAAAATTTGACCAGTTCCGAATCTTGGTGTGTGGAGGTGATGGAAGTGTGGGCTGGGTACTGTCTGAGATAGATAAATTAGATCTACATAGACAGGTAAGTTTTAATGTCATTGTTAACATAGCAACATAACAAGCCAGGAAAAAGGAACCATTGTAAAACAGATATCCATTTAGGGGCATGTGTGTCGGGATGAGTTTTTAGGTCATCTGACCCAAAGGGTCAAGATGACCTATAGCCATCGTGCTTCGTCCGTCGTCGTCCGCCGTGCGTAAACTTTTCATTCAAACAACTTCTTCTCAAATACTAGAAGGTCTAGGGGGCTAATACTTGGCACAGAGTATACTGGCATGGAGCTCTATCAAGTTTGTTCAAATGAATGACCTTTACCCACTTTAAAGGTCACATGGGTCAAATATCTTGTATCTAATGTCAGATGACCGTTAAGGCCCATGGGCCTCTTGTTTAAGATCAGAATTGTTTGGTTTGCTGGGTACATCACTCCATGAATAGCCATGTCATATTGAGATAGGGTTTCTCGTAGTGGCTACAAGCTAACTCATTGAACAATATACAGGAGGCCGTTACAGGCCCTCTAGAGCAATTAGGGTTAAAGGTCATGCCAAATGACACAACCACCACAGCGAAGGGACGTCCGTTTGTCAGCCTCCTGAGAAACACAAATCACCACGGCGAGGAAGCGTCAATCCTCACACGTCGCAGATCTTTACAAATGTTTTTTCTGTTATGTGTCTTAAATATATTGACAGAACTTAAATTTCATTTTCACTGTCACCCTGTGTGCTGTTTATTAAACAAGTACTGGTGTAATTCTGTGTTGTAGTGTCAAGTTGGGGTGCTACCGTTTGGTACAGGAAATGACTTAGCACGTGTCCTCGGGTGGGGAGCAACATTTGAAGCAGATACACAACTGACTGTGATATTGGAAAAACTGGAACATTCTCAAATTAAGATGCTGGATAGGTAAGTTATTGAATGTGTGAACTGGAATTTGTTAATTTGTATTGAACCTGGCTTACAAGAAAAGTGATAGCCACTTTCTGTATAGAGGGTCATTGCCCTGGAGTTTTAATTTGCAGTCAATCCTGAATTGCTTCAGCTTACTGTATACAAGTACTAATGGTAATTGTGATGTCTTTCTGCAGTTTATCTAATTACTTAAAACTATAATGATGTGGTTTCATCACACAAGTACTTAAGTCTGTCATTTTTAGCCCACCATCTGCCTAGCCCGTCTAGTGTTGTAGTTCATTCATATGTACTTTATATTTAATATTCATTCAGTAGGGCTGTATTAGAATCGGAAAATGATACTTGAATATTCATTTTCACAGTGATATATAATGAATGTAGTCATTTGATAAAAATCATCAGTTCTCTTACTGCAGTTATTGTAAAGACAATTTCCATTTTGAATGGTAGATCACAAGTGGATTTCTTCTTCAGAATTGTAATAACTTTGTGTTGACATTTACCTGCAGATAAATCAGTAAATAATTTAATGGAAAACAAAAGTTTAAGATTTCTGACATTTACAGGTGGAGTATATGGACCTACGAGGGTACAATGCCTCCCCCTAGAAAACTGTCTCAACAGGTATGAATTAATGTAGAAATAGCACCCAAAAAATATCCTTTGTTTGTTGATTCAAATTTAATCAGCAATATAATTTTTTTTTGTAGTTTAACTTTTTCAAGTCTTGTCATTGTGAAAAATACATGCAGTAATGTTATTTGTTGTAAGGAAGTGTGCAAGATATTAACATTCAAAAGAGAACTAATTTGCAAAACAATGGTTTTTTGCATTTTGGGGTTTTTTTGTTTTGTTTTTTTTGGGGGGGGTTTCTTTCTCTCAAAAATACAGAATGTTATTTAATCTTTAAAACCTAAGGTAATGCACCTGTTCCATTTTACATCACATTCATACTTACCTCCCTTTTCTGGTTGCAGTTTGACCCTATATCAGTATATGAAGACTCTGTCGCCAATCATCTTTCCAAGATTCTACATTCCGAAGATCATTCTATTGTTATTTCTTCAGCAAAGTAAGATGTCCTTTATAAAATTCTGTGGAAAGAAAATTTGTTTGTTTTCTATTTCATTTCAGAAGTTCAGCATTTAACATTTGCAGTGAGAAATCATAATATCTTATTCATGTTTGCTAAGGAAATTAAAATGCATAAAGATAAAAATACATAATACAATTATTTTTTTGTAATGGAAATGAGATGTTTTAAAATACATATTGAGTGTTAATATAATTAATATGAGAGAAATACTAACAAAAGTTGTCTCATGTTATTTTCATGAATTTTGTTTATATTTTAGAGTGTTATGTGAAACTGTTAAAGATTTTGTTGCCAAAGTTGGAGAGTCCTATGAGGTATGTTGTTTGTGTCGAAATTTGGGTTCTACTTAGACAAATAGGATTTATTCCACTCTGTACAGTTAGACTTTGCAAAAAATAATTTTATATCTCAACCTGGATGAAATCTTAACCATAATAAAGAAGGATTCATGAGAAATCTATGTGAAATATTCTACAATTTTTTTGTCCTTGTTATGACTAAAGGACAGAATATGTTGGATTGACTGTTGATGATACAGTATGAACACATACCATGTGTACTAAATTAACATTTTGGGAAAGAAGACATTGATGAAAAACTAATTATTATTATTATATATGATACAAAAATGTAACTGGTCGAAATTACAGAATATGTTTTGTTAATATTTTTTCAGTGTAATGTACTGAATGAGAAATTAGATAGTCTGCTCGTCACTCTAAAAGAGGAAGCTCAAGCATCCACTGCAACATCTCAGGTGAGTTGTCTTAACCTCTCAGCAACATCTCAGGTGAGTTGTCTTACCCTCTCAACAACATCTCAGGTGAGTTGTCTTACCCTCTCAGCAACATCTCAGGTGAGTTGTCTTACCCTCTCAGCAACATCTCAGGTGAGTTGTCTTACCCTCTCAGCAACATCTCAGGTGATGTTGTCTTAACCTCTCAGCAACATCTCAGGTGAGTTGTCTTACCCTCTCAACAACATCTCAGGTGAGTTGTCTTACCCTCTCAGCAATATCTCAGGTGAGTTGTCTTACCCTCTCAGCAACATCTCAGTTGAGTTGTCTTACCCTCTCAGCAACATCTCAGGTGATGTTGTCTTAACCTCTCAGCAACATCTCAGATGAGTTGTCTTAACCTCTCAGCAACATCTCAGGTGAGTTGTCTTACCCTCTCAACAACATCTCAGGTGAGTTGTCTTACCCTCTCAGCAATATCTCAGGTGAGTTGTCTTACCCTCTCAGCAACATCTCAGTTGAGTTGTCTTACCCTCTCAGCAACATCTCAGGTGATGTTGTCTTAACCTCTCAGCAACATCTCAGATGAGTTGTCTTACCCTCTCAGCAATATCTCAGGTGAGTTGTCTTACCCTCTCAGCAATATCTCAGTTGAGTTGTCTTACCCTCTCAGCAACATCTCAGGTGATGTTGTCTTAACCTCTCAGCAACATCTCAGGTGAGTTGTCTTAACCTCTCAGCAACATCTCAGGTGAGTTGTCTTACCCTCTCAGCAACATCTCAGGTGAGTTGTCTTACCCTCTCAGGAACATCTCAGGTGAGTTGATTAATCCTCTCAGCAACATCTCAGTTAAGTTGTCTAACCCTCTTAACAGAATCTCAGGTAAGTCAACTTACATTTATATCAGCATATTGGGTAAGATGTCTTGCACTCCCACAAACATCTAGGGGAACTCAATCACATATAACATTATGATAACCCATGAAACATATTTTTTGTCTTGTAATGTTTTCTCGGTACAATGTATTTGTCATTTAATGGATACCAAAAAGTACTTTATTACAATGGGATTTGTGATCTGCCATGTGAATTGTGATTTGCCTATTTTCCAAAAGAACTTGCCTATGATATACCTAGAACTTCACTATGATATACCACTTTCCCAACAGGACTTAGTATTTGCCTGTATCCCAACATACCACATTTGAGATTCACTAATTTTCCTTATAGAACTTCCCTATGATTTAATAGTTTCCCCACAGGACTGATGATTTACAGAGGTGTGATTTGCCTGTTTTAGGTACAGAGTCACCACGAGGAGTCAGATCCAGTGATGGTAACTCCGGATAACGATGTAGTTCCTGGAGAAATTAGCGTGCCTCCTAAAACAAAAACTGTAAGTAGATGAGGACTTGTTTGGGAGATGTGTCCCTCATTTTCGATATATTGTGTTAATAGGATAGAGTTAATTTCATGGACTTTCACATCAGTATGTTAAGGTAGTTCCCATTTAATGCTAGACAAACTTTTGAGAGCTGTTTTGTGTCTTTAAGAAGTCAGAGTAAAATTTTCCTGTATTTGTTAAGTTTACTGATTAATTACTAAGGAAATTTTCCAAACTTCTGCTTCATTTTCACCATGTTTTGTTTACTGGTATGAATTCAGTTCTACTTTTCATGCCATTATCTTCATGAACATTGATTTATTTTTTCAGGCAATTTTCAAACCCAGAGATGCCTTGATGTCCCGGGCAAATAGCCTAAAAAAGGCAATACGACAGATAATAGAACACACAGAGAGAGGTGAGAGCAATACTTACTGGGAGGTTTGTATTCAGTTAACATTGTGTGAGAAGACAAAATGGGTGTTGATATTAAAGGTACTTGTTATTGCTGCCTTTTTTAGTTCACCATCATCAGATTTGCCTGTGTCCCTAGTCGTGACCATTTGATTTTTGGGACAGATCGGGGAAAAAATGTCTGACAGGCGGCAATCTATGATTTTTTCACTATTTCTAGAGAATTAATAACTAAATTTTTCTCAAGTATAGGGGCCCCTTGGTCCCTTGTTGCTTCCATTTGATTTTTGGTCAGGTGGCCATCTTGGATTTTGATTTAGAAAGTTTGTTATAGATACTTCTTGAGGACTACAGCAGTGATGTTTCTCAAATTTCATGTGTTTGTTCCCCTTGATCCTTACTTGTGCCTTTTCCAGTTTGTGGATTGATTAGAAAAACAAAATGGCTGACAGTCAGCCATCTTGGAATCGCCAAGTAAAGATTGCTATCCCTTTTTCTTAAGAAGTACTGAATGGATCTCTCTTTTTATGTTTTCAGCTGTAGATGAGCAAAATGCACAGACAGAACAACAACTTGGTTTGATCCATGAGTCACGGTCAATAGGTAGCACAGAACATCTGAATGTGGAGTCTGGGGGTCGAGGTTTGGTGACAGATACCGAGACTTCACACTCAGCTCCAACATTTTCCATCTTTACCTCAGAGGTCGCCCCTGTCTCCCCTCTTCTCAATCCTCGTAACCATGGTAAGTTTTAAAGAAGAAGTTAAAACCTTTTAAATCATCTTCCAAGGAAAGTAAGTAAAAAGTAGACAAGATATCTCATTGAAGAAGAATCAGTTTAACTTTAGAAAAATTAAGAGATTGGGCTGAATTTAGTAGACATAAAGTTATGAGAAATATTTTCATTAATTTTAGTATAAGAATCTACAAGAAATTTTTCCAAAAATAGTTTTTAGATGTGATAAGTTCAATAACTGCTCCTTGATTATGAAAACTAATACCATAAACCAATAAGGCAGGAAATATTTCACAAAAACTCATCACTGCCAACTTCTTAACTTCATTAAAAAATAATCATTGATTAAGATTCATGAAAGGGTATTACCTTGAAACAGTGTAGGAGATTAAGATAGGAAATAATGATATCCACAACAAATAATTTAGTTTCCAGTATTGTTTTATTGTTTATCATTTATCTAAACATTTAGAATATTACTTTCCAGATGGTCAGAGATCTCCAAAGATTGAGGAGCCTACAACGTCCCGCAGAATTAGCAGCATGAGTATGTTTAATAGAACATCAAGTCTTGGGTCTAATTTATCTGGCCAGACCCGTGAGAAAAGTCCCAACAAAGAGAGCATTCCAGTCCCATTGATGGGCTTCCCCTTCTGTGATTATAGTGTACTCCCTAGTAAGTGGAATCTTTTAATGTATGTAGGAACAGAGTAGTGTCAAATGAGAAATAGAATCATGTAAGTCTGTCAAATAAAAACTAGAATTGACAATAAATCAGGTCTGTTAAATAAAAACTAAAATTGACAATAAATCCTAACTGATGAACAAATTTTTTTATGAGTAAGGAATCTTGCACATTTTTCCTTTTCAAGCACTTTGGTGAAATTTTTACCTTTTGCTCTCTTTTAAGGTTTGTACTACGCTGTATACTTACATGTTTAAGTATTGCTGGGAAGTTAGCAAGTTAACATAAACCTAACACTGCACTTTATCTACAGGTTTAAGTAGTAGTATTGCTGGGAAGTTAGCAAGTTAACATAAACCTAACACTGCACTTTATCTACAGGTTTAAGTAGTAGTATTGCTGGGAAGTTAGCAAGTTAACATAAACCTAACACTGCACTACACTCTAAATTTACAGGTTTAAGTAGTAGTATTGCTGGGAAGTTAGCAAGTTATCATAAACCTAACACTGCACTACACTCTAAATCTACAGGTTTAAGTAGTAGTATTGCTGGGAAGTTAGCAAGTTATCATAAACCTAACACTGCACTACACTGTATACTTACATGTTTAAGTAGTAGTATTGCTGGGAAGTTAGCAGGTATATCTAAGGTTTAAGTAGTAGTATTGCTGGGAAGTTAGCAAGTTATCATAAACCTAACACTGCACTACACTGTATACTTACATGTTTAAGTATTGCTGGGAAGTTAGCAAGTTAACTTAAACCTAACACTGTACTACACTGTATATCTACAGGTTTAAGTAGTAGTATTGCTGGGAAGTTAGCAAGTTATCATAAACCTAACACTGCACTTTACTCTATCTACAGGTTTAAGTAGTAGTATTGCTGGGAAGTTAGCAAGTTATCATAAACCTGTATATCTACAGGTTTAAGTAGTAGTATTGCTGGGAAGTTAGCAAGTTATCATAAACCTAACACTGTACTACACTGTATATCTACAGGTTTAAGTAGTAGTATTGCTGGGAAGTTAGCAAGTTATCATAAACCTAACACTGCACTACATTCTAAATCTACAGGTTTAAGTAGTAGTATTGCTGGGAAGTTAGCAAGTTATCATAAACCTAACACTGCACTACATTCTAAATCTACTTTAAGTAGTATCTACAGGTTTAAGTATATCTAGTAGTATTGCTGGGAAGTTAGCAAGTATATCTACAGGTTTAAGTAGTAGTATTGCAAGTTAAACCTAACACTGCACTTTACTCTATCTACAGGTTTAAGTAGTAGTATTGCTGGGAAGTTACTTAACATACCTAACACTGTACTACACTGTATATCTACAGGTTTAAGTAGTAGTATTGCTGGGAAGTTAGCAAGTTAACATAAACCTAACACTGTACTACACTGTATATCTACAGGTTTAAGTAGTAGTATTGCTGGGAAGTTAGCAAGTTAACTTAAACCTAACACTGCACTTTACTCTATCTACAGGTTTAAGTAGTAGTATTGCTGGGAAGTTAGCAAGTTAACATAAACCTAACACTGTACTACACTGTATATCTACAGGTTTAAGTAGTAGTATTGCTGGGAAGTTAGCAAGTTAACATAAACCTAACACTGTACTACACTGTATATCTACAGGTTTAAGTAGTAGTATTGCTGGGAAGTTAGCAAGTTAACTTAAACCTAACACTGCACTTTACTCTATCTACAGGTTTAAGTAGTAGTATTGCTGGGAAGTTAGCAAGTTAACATAAACCTAACACTGCACTCTATCTACAGGTTTAAGTAGTAGTATTGCTGGGAAGTTAGCAGGTGGCAGTTTCATCAGTAAGGTACTGCTGGCCAATGCTGATGCCTTGTGTGCTGCAGCCTCCCCTCTTATGGAGGAGGATATTCCTCCGTAAGTATATTCTCTTGTATCTTTAATATTAATTTGCTTTAAGGCAGGAGTAGTCAGCACTTACTGACATTCTCAGATGTTTACACTGCTGGTCAAATATTTCAAAACAATTTGTTGGAACAGAGTGCTTTTGTTTCATTTTAGTTTTACTGTATATAGATAAAACTTTCATGTCATCATTCAACTGAGATCAATTTTATCCAGTAAACAGTTGATGAAACTGTGGTTGTATTTATTTTTGACTGCCTTATATTGCACCTTACAGAGAAGAGTACATGGAGAGGTGTGTCATGAACAACTATTTTGGTATAGGCCTGGACGCCAAGATTACACTTGACTTCCAAAACAAACGAGAAGTCCATCCAGAGAAGTGCAGGTTTGTCAGAAGTTTTTATATTTATGGTTTTTTTATTCACTTGTTAATTTTATTTAAGATTAGACAACTTGAAGTACCCGGTAGTCTTGATATTGCATCATGTATCATCAAATCTTGATATTGGCCTTAAATCCTACATGTAAGATAAAAAAATTTGACACCAAATCTTAACTTTATACGCAGGAGTCGAACAAAAAACATGATGTGGTACGGAGTGTTAGGTGGTAAAGAAATCCTGCATCGGACATTTAAGAACCTTGACCAGCGTGTCCAGTTAGAATGTGATGGTCAGCGGATTCCACTTCCTTCATTACAGGGCATCGTCATCCTCAACATTCCAAGGTAAAAGTTGTTACTTTTCTGATCACCTAGAAATTTCACATACTGGAAACTTTACCCCCAAGGAACCTTAGGGGTGGGACTAAAAGCTTTATATAGGAAAAGTACATTTTTTAGCATATTTTGTATAATTTACATTGGAAATATTTAGAATTATCAGTAAAAGGACGACAATTTGATGATATCCCCATATTGGTCCTGGTTGACCTCCGGGGCTGATGAGTGGGAAAATCTTCTCCTTAACACCCAGATTTGGTAGAATCAAATGGTCTTCATGGATGGAAGGGTCTTAAGTGCTTTACTGAAAAGGTGAATTTCATGACCTAAAGGTTCCCCTCCCTCTGTGAAGGAGGTAAAGTTTAGTATAGTTTTGTAGGAAAATTTCATTTTTGAGCATAATTTCCCACTGGAAAGAATTATTAATATAGGATGACAGTTTTCATGATAAGCATATATTGATACTTGCTGACCCTCACGGGCTTAAAACATATCACTTCAGTCTTACTATCATCAAATTCTTTTTCATGACACTTAAAGCTACCTACCCTGTAAATTCATATTTGATATTGCTTTCCTCGGTTGAACATCAAGGTGTATATAAAGTTGTGCGATACACAAGTACATTGTATAAAACGATGTAAGTCTGTGTCCGTCGAGATATTTCATGAATAGCAAAAACTAAGGTGTTTGTGGGAAAAAAATGTGAAGTCATATTTTAAGCCTGAAGAAAAATAGAACTAGATTTGATTGTTAGCCAGTTTAGATATGGTGAATCCTGATAATATTGACTGTGTGGCTGAGCTGGTAGTAAATGGTTGTATTTCTCAGGAAGCTGAGAAAGGGACAGGTCAGTACTGTCATGGTAGTGTTACCCAAATCGTTCTGAATGACATATAATGGGCCTACCCTGTGATGGTTGGTGAGCTAGGTATGAGGTAGTACAAAGGGACTCTTGTCTCAAAATGACCGTGGATATTATAAGGGTGATAAGCTCAACTTACAAACACACTGGTAAAATATAACGAAAGGTAATGTTGATTATTTATGTTTTGACAGCTATGGCGGAGGATCCAATTTCTGGGGAGGCACTAAAGAAGATGATGTAAGTAAGGTTGCTGTAGAGTGAAATTCTGAAAAATTTTTAGTTGAAGCTGGTAAAAAGAATGCTTTGCTCTCAGTTTGAAATAAATAATGTTCAGTTTTTACATCACAGGATACTAACAGATGATATCCAGATAATACAAGACAATGACAAGACTGATAGTTCTTCCACTGATAATAGATTTAGTATAATTGGAAGTTAATTGAAATTATGATATTTTGTTACAGACATTCCAAGCCCCTAGTTTTGATGATAAGATACTAGAAGTGGTAGCAGTGTTTGGTTCTGTACAGATAGCTATGTCTCGGGTTCTGGACATCCAGCAACATCGCATAGCACAGGTAAAAAGAGGACATATAAACCACACTAGTACATACAAAATACTGTAATTTGCTTTGTTATTAATATTTGTTAGGTTTTCGATACCTGTAGATATTGATATATATATATACAGTGAACCCCACTTATTATGATAGCACATATTATGATATTCCATGTACTGAATTTTGCTCGTATACATTAAGAGAAAAAAATTACTGTGGTATTGTCCATCGTGAGATATTGGTTATTATGATGTCTTCAATGTTATTTTTTTCTAAATCTGGAAAATACAATGTCATATATGTGGGTTCCACTGTATAAGAAAATGATAGGTTTACTGTAGAGTCGTTAATTTTCCAGGGGTACACTTAATCCACAAATTCATAACTTTTAAAGTTAGTATAAGAAGATATATTAAATAATATTTATCCATGAAATCAAATGTTCATAAAACCACAAAAATTGGGCTCCATGAAAATTTACTATTTTGCAGTATAAAAATTATACACCAAGATGTGCAGATCACTACTAAGTATTTGTGTTTAATGTGTAGTGTCGGAAGGTGAAGATCACAATCATGGGGGACGAGGCAGTCCCAGTACAGGTGGATGGGGAGGCATGGATGCAGCCGCCAGGCTACATTCGTATTGTTCATAAAAATCGTGCTCAGATGTTGACAAGAGATCGGGTATGTATTGCTCATCACCACACCATGGCAGGCATCATTTAGCCTGTCAATTCAATATAGCAGACTAGAATCATTTAGCCAGACAGTACACCATGGCAGACATGAATCAGTTGGCCAGACAGTATACCATAGCAGGCATCATTTAGCCAGACAGTACACCATGGCAGACATGAATCAGTTAGACAGGCAGTACACCATGGCAGACAGGAATCATTTAGCCTGTCAGTACATGTCATTTGACAAGATTTTAGGCGAGTGACATAACAGGATAAGAATACTTCACAAAATGTACTCTGGCTCACTTTTCACAGTTGTAACTTGATGTTTGTTCAACTATCTTCATCTGTAACAAGTGTTAAACAGGCTGAACCAGACAGCATTTTTTGAATGCAACTTTAAATCTCTATAGAAAACAACACAACTACAAAATGTTGGAATGAAGGTCATTGTAATTTGCAGGCCTTTGAGAGCATCCTGAAGTCATGGTCGGAAAAACAGAAGACGGAAAGAATGACCAGTGTCCAGCCTGTTGCACTGTCTGAAGAGGAGTGTGTGGTTCTTCAGAACTTTGTAGATGTTGCCTCTGCTCTCATTAAATGGTGAGGACTTATCTTGATCTTGTCCTAAACTTCAGGGGTCTTACAGGAGGTTTGACTTAATCTTCTGTATTTATACAGAAACTGATGAAGTCGAGGCCTGATAAGGCTGATGTTTTATATGAAGGCAAGGTTCCAAAGAGGGGTTTTTGGCCCATTATCAATTGCTGGGTTTATCAAATCACTATTTGTCTATAGTCAATTGCCTTTCTCTAAGTACTCTCTGTCAGCACTATTGCTCTTTGCAAACTTTCACATTATGTTCAGAAGAAATTTTAATTTTGAAACCTGAGGATCAAAGTTGGAAAGAAATTATTAAGAAGGCCATCAAGAATGCTTAATAGTGATCTTTCACCTGTATGTCCCTCAGGGTATTTGGCTGTAAACAAGCTGAGAACAAAGTTTGTTCAGATGAATTGCCTTGACCCACTTCAAAATTCACAGTAGTGAAATACATCTTTAAAAGATTAAGAGACTCAGGGACATGATACACGTGTCATAATCTTTACATAAGCAAGAAGCTGCAGATTTCGGGGTCAGTTTGTTGCTGTAATGAAGGACTAGAAAATTTGGTATTTGTTTCTTTAATGAAATTTATCCATTTAAGAAAGGTTTTGCAAAGCATAGATTAAGATGTTCTGACAAAAATATTTGATTAGTAGGGAAAATGATCATATGAATATCATGTGTTTCTATCAATCTGAAATTGACTCACTTGTGAATTAAAAACAACAAAGCTGGCTGTTCAATCTTTCTTTCTGGCGTAGAATAATGAATTTATTTCCCATCATGCATTCTTATCCTGGACAGTGTGAAAGTGGCAGCTTTAAACTACAGTACCATTGAGCAGGAGTTATTCCCCTTGGCAACCCAGGCCTCAGAATACATGGACAGGCTGTACCCCTCAGGTAGATTGGCTGAGGTAAGTAGTACAAGTTTGTTTCATGTCATCAGGTTTTGGTGGGAAATCTCAACACACACGCACACCTTTTCTCCTCCCAAAAATATATGTAAATATTTATTAAACTTCTTGTGTTTTCCCCCTGATTTTGTGTACATTTTAAACTAAATCAGAAGTATCTGGTGATTTCCAACAGGGATTGAAACTCTGTACAAGCTTCGAAACAAAACCCCACTTTCAGAGTTTGAAGCTGCAATAAATTTGAGGCTAAAATGATTATAAAAAAATAATTTTATAAATACCAAACCAGGAGTCTTCACTTGAACTGAAATATTGTCCTCCACTAATAGAGGTGCATCAAGAAGTTATTTCATCCCTGAACATTTACAGGTTAACAGTTTTCTTATGCTACATACGATGTAGCCACTGTTTTATTGTTAATCAAATTTCTATATTATGTCAGTTTAATTAAGCCATCTACAAAATGTAAACTTACAAGAACAATTAAAGACAGAAAATTAGCATTATATGGAGAAGAAAATTTCTCACTTTTTCTGTTTCTTATTTGTTAGCTGGACACTACGGATTCCGACTCATACCAGGTTTATAATCCTATTGTTCTTGGCTTGCGTATTTGTGTGGTTTTGTGATGCTGTTGTTGGTAGTTGCTGTTTATAATTTCAAGAACACCCATTCAGGATTGTTATTAACAAGGTCACCCACTCAGGGCTGTTATTATCAAGGTCATCCACTCAGGGCTGTTATTAACAAGCTCACCCATTCAGGATTGTTATTAACAAGGTCACCCACTCAGGGCTGTTATTAACAAGCTCACCCATTCAGGATTGTTATTAACAAGGTCACCCACTCAGGGCTGTTATTAACAAGCTCACCCACTCAGGGCTGTTATTATCAAGGTCATCCACTCAGGGCTGTTATTAACAAGCTCACTCACCCAGGGCTGTTATTATCAAGGTCATCCACTCAGGGCTGTTATTAACAAGCTCACCCACTCAGGGCTGTTATTAACAAGCTCACCCACTCAGGGCTGTTATTATCAAGGTCATCTATTCAGAGATTTTACCATCATGGTTAGCCATGTCTATATATCTTTTTTTTCACATGAAATATATTGATGATTCACATGCCACTGTCACAGAAGTTTATGTTATATGTCAAAGTCACACAATTTAATATTCCATAAGATGAGGTCCTACATCAAGGTCAAATTACTGAAGGTCATTACAAAAATATCAGAATCCATGGCTGACATCACAGATTGGAGTTGATTAGTATGCTTTGATAGAGACTTCACTACAGCACATGTCACATGTATAGATTGTTTGAATACAGTCCCCGCCCCTCGAGGTGTGTTTGGATGCAGCCTCTATCCCACACACTGATTAGATACATCCTCCTCCCATGAGATGTGTTTTGATGGTCTGATGCAGCCTGTATCCCACACATTGATTAGATACATCCTCTTCCCATGAGATGTGTTTTGATGATCTGATGCAGCCTCTATCCCACACACTGATTAGATACATCCTCCTCCCATGAGATGTGTTTTGATGGTCTGATGCAGCCTGTATCCCACACATTGATTAGATACATCCTCTTCCCATGAGATGTGTTTTGATGATCTGATGCAGCCTCTATCCCACACACTGATTAGATACATCCTCCTCCCATGAGATGTGTTTTGATGGTCTGATGCAGCCTCTATCACACACACTGATTAGATACATCCTCCCCCCATGAGACATGTTTTGATGGTCTGATGCAGCCTCTATCCCACGCACCGATTAGATACATCCTCTTCCCATGAGACATGTTTTGATGGTCTGATGCAGCCTCTATCCCACACACTGATTAGATACATCCTCCTCCCATGAGACATGTTTTGATGACCTGATGCAGCCTCTATCCCACACACTGATTAGATACATCCTCCTCCCATGAGATGTGTTTTGATGGTCTGATGCAGCCTCTATCACACACACTGATTAGATACATCCTCCCCCCATGAGACATGTTTTGATGGTCTGATGCAGCCTCTATCCCACGCACCGATTAGATACATCCTCTTCCCATGAGACATGTTTTGATGGTCTGATGCAGCCTCTATCCCACACACTGATTAGATACATCCTCCTCCCATGAGACATGTTTTGATGACCTGATGCAGCCTCTATCCCACACACTGATTAGATACATCCTCCTCCCATGAGATGTGTTTTGATGGTCTGATGCAGCCTCTATCCCACACACTGATTAGATACATCCTCCTCCCATGAGACGTGTTTTGATGGTCTGATGCAGCCTCTATCCCACACACTGATTAGATACATCCTCCTCCCATGAGATGTGTTTTGATGACCTGATGCAGCCTCTATCCCACACACTGTGTTTCTGGTTGACACAGCCACTATCTTACTAATTCACACTTTTGATACAGCCTCTACCCCACAATGAGTATTATGAAACAGGCGGCGCTCCACATGCAGTGTTTTGATACAAACCCAACCCCACATAGTGTTTTTGACACAGCCTTATCTTATGAGTTGTGTTTGAGTTCCTATCCTGTAAGGTGTATTTTGATACAGCTCCTACCCCACACAATGTGGCGTGTTTTGATATAGCCCTTATCCCATATACAATATTACATTGAGACAAACTCAAGATGGTGTCCAGCATGTATTCTACCCATCCATCAGACACTGAAACAGTTAAAAAAACTGAAATGCTTACATTTATAGACACTTCCAGCAATGTATTGAAACAATCATTATTTAGTATACATAAATGATTAAAGTTTATATTGTGAAGATTTGTGCGTCAGATGAAGCATGGTTATTTTTAGTATCATACTAAGGATGTCAATTTGCTATTTGGTTATTGATCTGATTCAGTTTTCAAATATTTGAATATTTATTTTCATGTAGATTCTACACGGTACAAAACATTTACAGGGCAGTGACTATACATCACTGTAATGGTATCATTTTACCATTATTGTATAGAACAGTATCTGAAATCACTGGAGTTTTCAATATGATGAACAAAGTGTGTAAATAGTGTAACTGAAATTGTTGTAAGAAATAAGATCAATTTCTGGACTTATTTGTCTTTTGAACTCAGATTTAAAAATGGTAAAATAACAAACGTGAAAATTGTATGAAACGATGTCATAGCAAATGATAAGATAAGAACACACAGATATATCCACACATGTTTTAACACTCAGAAAAAGGCTTTGTTAGTAAAGTATAAACATCACATTTTCAAAAGAATAATTGTTGACATACTTCATAACATACATTGTTTCACAATTAGCATATATACGAAAGTAACGTGAACATCAAATCCACATCTGGTACAGTAGTTCTCTTTGTTATATATGAAAATTTCTAATATGAATATTCAAATATCATTTCCAATTTGAACATCTCCGTACCAAAGGAATATTCGTTGATGATATCCATTGACATCCCTAGTATATACATGTATAGATATTTCATGTTTGTTTTGTTTTGGTATTTTTATTTTTATTTTCATTTTAATTTTTAGAGTTTTTATCGCAGTCTTTTTTAGCATGGTTGAATTAATTTTTAGCTCATTTGACCCAAAAAGCCAAGTGAGCTTACAGCATACAGTGGCATCCAACTTTTGTGCGTCAAAATTTTTGTACAAATTGCTACTTTTCATGAATATCAGAGTAGCTCTTGATCAAAATTTATCAGAAACATTATTGTGGGAAAAGTTTCAGTGGTGGGTCACTGACCAAAGGGGCCTGAGGTATGGGGCCCAAAAGGAAAATTTTGCAAGTTCTTGAAAACCTTAAAATTTTTTGGATTTTTGCCAAATTAGATAGGAAACATTCTTGAATGAAAGGGAATCAGTTTCATATAAATAGTAGATCCTTGAATAGGGAATAAAGAGCAAATTTTAAAACTCCTACTCCTCCAAAATGAATGATTTGATTCAGCTCATATTTGGATGAATGGGATTCAGTTTTGTTTAAACAGGGGGTCTCGGCTGTCTCAGGTTGGAGGGACAGGGCCAAGGAGGTGAAATAAAATAAATTGTTGGAAATCCTTATCCTGTAGGAACGGCAGGATTCTGTGTTAATTTAGTCTGAAGTATGAATGGTTTGGCCGATCTCCAAGGGACAGTGGGTTGGTGCCCTATGTGAAAATACTTTATATAGTGTGTGATGTGTAATTTGATATTTAGAATTCCTTTTCTTTAGTTCTGATAAAGCAATTTCAGTCAACCAAAACAAGATGAGTGATACAGGTCCAATGGGCCTCTTGTCATGTATTTTTGTCTCCTATATATTACAATTTGCTTTTTAAAACAATGATGACAGTTCAATAATCATCTTAACAAGAAGGGAGCTTTACACAAATCACATGTAAAATTATAGAGAGACATGAACCAAGGAAAACCATGAAATTTTGGAAAATGATACAGAATGTAGAATAGAAAATGTAGAGGAAATGATCACAGAAGTTGATATTTCTTTTTATTTTGTAGCCAACGTTACGGAGTCAGGTGATAGATTTTGTCCGAAGTGTTCAGAACCTTTACAACGAGGCCAATACATTCCTTACTGATAAGGCTCCTGTAATGGTAAGTATTCTGACTTTCTATTTTAAGACAGAATTTCACAATAATTTAAATTCGTTCTTCAGGTTGATGGACGAATTCTATACAAGTATCACTGAAACTTTGATATGGGTTATTGACAGAGACTACAGCCTGAGTTGATGGATCGGCTAAGTGTGGCGTTGGCCCAGCTGGAGACGGAGCTTCAGAAGATGACAAGTATGTGTGGAATCATGACATCAGTATCCCGAGCAGTTTCGCAGGAGGAGGTTAGCAGCACCTCCATCCTAGAGGTAACCAATCATTCTCTTCTACCTTGCCTTTTGTTGGTAAGAAATGTTCACAATTTTTGTAACATTATAATATTTATCTATATCATTCATAACCTGTCCACATATAAACTTTGAGTTTAGAGGGACAGTGTGATTTTCATGGTTCTGTTTGCTTACTATCAGATTCCAGTGCATACAGTAGAACCGAAAAGAAAGCCAGGAAAACTGAAACAGGTTTACAGTAAACTAAAGGGCAAAGGTCGTGACAAGGACAAGGACAGCAAAGGCTTCCCCTTACGTAAGTATTGCATAAGGTAGATATAAGATGAAAGGTCATGACAAAGGAAAAAAAGCAGTGAATGCTATAAATAATCTATACTGTAAACTTAAGGTCAAATGTCATGATAAAAATGAAAGTAAAGAATTCATTCTCTCGTACATATATGAATATTCTGTACAGGTCATGATAAAGACAAGCAATGAATGTTGTTTCTATTGAAAAAATCACATGTTTACACTATCTGCTTATTTGAACTGACTGGAGATTTACCAGAAATATTCTGTAATTTACACTGGAAGTGAAAAGCAAGAAAGAAAATACCAACATGTTAATAGAATCTTAATTCAAACTCAAATTTAGTGAAACTACAGCAAAATATAAACAAAAGAAATACTTACATGGATTTACACCACTATGGTGTATAATCTATTTACTATATGATGTGGAATCTTTACCTTTTCACTGTGCACTGAATAAAAAGTCTCTCTGTTTCAATAGAATATTTGAATCGAGGAATGGTGCCATTGTCTGGTGTTTTTACGCATGCCTTGTGTATAAGTCCACCCTTTATACATGTTTTTGCACTATAAATTATGATGTTCCAGCTTTCCATGTACAATCATGGACGTTAGAGGAAGTGGCCATGTGGTTGGAGAACCTGTCTCTGGCTGAGTACAAGGAATCTTTTATAAGCCATGAAATACGAGGAACAGAGCTTCTTTCTCTGGACAAGGGTGATATACAGGTATTTCAACAGTCTTTTCATTCATAATAAACCAGTACTGAAGGAAAATTTCAATTGCTTTTTTTCCCAATACTTTCCAATAGAAAAGTTTATGGAGTTAATCAGAGCTTATGGCCAATGGCTAATTCCTTGTGTGATTTTATGTATATTGTTTTGTTCTGCAGGACCTTGGTGTATCTAAGGTTGGTCATGTAAAGCGAATACAGCAAGGAATCAAGGACCTAAACAACAGACAGTTTAGCTGTGTGAAAGACAACTCGTGACAGCAGTTCCCTCGAACCTAAACAACAGACAGTTTACTTGTGTGAAAGACAACTCGTGACAGCAGTTCCCTCGAACCTAAACAACAGACAGTTTACCTGTGTGAAAGACAACTCGTGACAGCAGTTCCCTCGTACCTTAACAACAGACAGTTTACCTGTGTGAAAGACAACTTGTGACAGCAGTTCCCTCGAACCTAAACAACAGACAGTTTACTTGTGTGAAAAACAACTCGTGACAGCAGTTCCCTCGAACCTAAACAACAGACAGTTCATCTGTGTGAAGGACACCTCGTGACAGCAGTTCCCTCGAACCTTAACAACAGACAGTTTACCTGTGTGAAAGACACCTCTTGACAGTAGTTCCCACGGACCTAAACAACAGACAGTTTACCTGTGTGAAGGACACCTCATGACAGCAGCATCTAAGGACCTAAACAACAGACAGTTTACCTGTGAAGGATACCTCTTGACAGCGACACCTCATGACAGCAGTACATAAGGATTTGTGTGAAGGGTACTATCTGCATGTAACAAAATTGCCATTCACACAAGCACTTAAAACTTTAAACATGTTGTTTAAGATAAAACTCTTACAATTTGATATCCGTATTATGCAATTTTAAGAGTTTTACAAAACACTTCATCAGAATGTTTTTGAAGAACTAAATTTCTGTTGTTTCTTCTTTTAAATTGTTTGTGTAATGGAAAGCATTGTTAGTTATATGTTGTGAATTCTCCAGTTTTATACCACAGAACTGTTCAACAGGATTTGTTTTTATTCAAAATTCACTGGAAGACTAGTGTCACAATACATTATCAAACTTCGCTCTGACTTTACTGAATTGGGAACTGAAGGTGTCTTTCAGGTGACATGGTTGAATGATGATAGCTTGTTAATTTGTTATGATCCATTAATATTTAATTTGTGCTAAAGCTTTACTATTTTTATTTATTTGTATAGAGTATATTTCTAGATGTCAAACAATACTACATGTTTAATATGTGAAAATGATGTTTGATCTTTTATGGTCAGGATCAATCAGGGTCAAGGTCACCTTGTATTGTTGAATAAACTTCATATGTTTCTATAAGATAAAATACCCTGTACTGATTTTTGTCATTGGTATGTCCTTGGGTATTAAAAAATTTCAACAGGTAGATAAAAAGATTGTCTTTGAATGTAAAAATACTGAAAGAATATTTTTTACTCTTTGGTCACACTAAAGCCAAAGGATTTAAGTTCTTTTTTAATTTTTTTGTTTATGAAAAGAGAAGTATTTTCATGATGAAATATTGAAAGTCCTTTGCGTTTGAAAAAAATGTAATGAAATCCTTGTATTATTTTACACCTTTATGAAAAAAAGTCATTTCCCCCAAAATATTCATCTGTTTAAAGATGGATGACTGTACAAGGCAGCTTTATTTCAACACCTTTGCAACAAGAGGGGCTGGGGGTATAGATTAGGAAATCTCGGTCATCTCTTTCGTCCAAAGTTCACTTCCAAACTCTTCATTCCAAAGATGTTACTATGTAGTATAACCTTGTAGAGATATCACAGCCAGGGTGGAAAGATTCCATTACCCAGCCTTTAGGTACTTCATTCCATGTTTTACAGGGTAATATAGTATTTTACCATATTCAGGTATGGTGCAACATGGCTCCTTTAAGTTAAGACAATCACTTGTTTCATGATATAACCTTGCTTATGTTGTCATAAAGTAACGTCAGACATTATGTTTTTGTCAATGTACAAAATGAATCCTGAGTGCAGTTCAATACAAGGGAGCTAACTCCAAAATCTAAAAGTTAGTAGAAGAGGTTGCTGTCTGCATTTGATTTTCATACCAGGTATGTACAGGTTGAAAATTCAGTTTTTAATGTATTGTTATATCTGTACACAGGTGAGAGTCAGGTATTGTATGTCATTATTATCTCTGTACACAGGTAAGAGAGTCAGGTATTGTATGTCATTATTATCTCTGTACACAGGTAAGAGAGTCAGATATTGTACGTCATTATTATCTCTGTACCCAGGTAAGAGAGTCAGATATTCATGTATGTATTTATCCTACCTTGGTGAGAGAGTCAGGTAATGTACGTAATTATCATACCTGTACACAGGTGAGACAGGAGAGTGAGATGTGTATACATAGTATCCCGAGTAGCTAGACATGTACCTACCATGTATTTTATACTTTCTTACTTTTGTATGAACAACTTACTTGTTACCAAAATAACACAGATGCTTGTTTCTTGAATGAGTAAGAATGACTTAGCAATATAATTTATTTTCTTAATTGATTTTTTTTGCCTGATCACGTTTGCTGTTGCACAATGTATGACCTTAGAATGTCTCTCAGTATCGAATTAGACTTTGGAGACTTGTGGTGTTTCTATATCAAGACAGACATCATGGCGTTTCTCTCTTGAGATGGACATCATAGTGTTTCCATCTGGAAACAGATATGTGTTGTCGCAATTTGGAAACAGACACATGTTGTTTTAATCTTGAGACAGATATGTTGGTGTTTCAATCTTGAGGTGGACATCATAGTTTCTCTCAATAAACAACAAACAACTCTCAGTGTTGAGATATTATGGTTCATACCTGTATTATTTTAACATTTCTCAGTCTTTTTTCTTATATATGATATATACACACATGACAAAAAATTTTTTCGGTAATTATGAAATGTTGTAAGATTTGAGACAAGTACCCTGATAGTGCTTATTGGTGTGTCTACCATCTTTGTGAGTGGTGGCGTTTATACAATGGTCGTTTGAATCTCCCAGAATGTGTTCTCAACAGAAGTAAGATAGAAATTCTTGTCTCATTAAAAAAAAAATTCCAATCTTTTTAATGTTGATAGTTTTCTCAATCTTTCCAGTTTGAGAAAGCTTGATATTGTTATGGTGTGAGAGCAGTCATAGAAGATGACAGTGCAGCATGATATGCTATTTTTATGTACTGATATTACTGGGCGAGCTTCTGTTATACACATTGATACATAGTACTGTCTAGTTTTTTATGTCACAATAAGTTGGAAGGGATCTAATAATCTGTATGATTGTTGAATTTGTTAAATTACTGGTCACCAGGAGGTAGCTGTCCATTTCTGGAGCTTTGTTCTGATTCAAAAACTTCATAAAACCTTTGTTGTGTGTTAAGTTGAAGAGTTTACCTGTTGTAAGGATTTAGATTTGTCATCCTAATGATGTTTGGAAAGTGATTCAGTGCTGCTTATCTTATTTGTCTGCTTTGTCCTTTACTGTGGGGTCATAATGCTGGTTACTATGGTTCAGCATATTGCTGAAGTTCAATCCACTGAAGAGTGGTTTTTTTCAAGAAAAACAAGCTTACTAAGAGATCGATTAACCCACAATGCCCATAAACAGGATGTCAAGAGAGTAACAACTTATATACATATATGTGTAGGAGTATTGTCACCAAGGATTGGGTTAGTAAAATTAAACTGATCAGACATCTCTAAGGTATATTTATGTCCAGTTCATGCTCCATATTTGGCGTAAATAACAATCTCTTTGTACATGATTATATGTGGTATATCCTGACAAGTTTCCATGAACAGAAACTGTTAAGGTGATGAAACACTTACTGTCAAGATCCTAATATCTTTTACAATACTCCGTGATGGAATTAACTTCTGGCGCAGTTTGTTACTTAAAAGTCATAAACATGGAATCGAATGTACAAGGATAGAAATTTATATGAATTCTTCCCAAAATAAAAAGGCTTACTATCAGATGAACCTACGACAATTTTAAGTGTGTTGACCTGAGTGGAAGGTGTATGAGAAGGGTCTTGTACGTGTGTGCTGGTATTTCTCTTGATCGTGATGATTGTATCAGTTACGGGTTCCTTTTTAATGTTTTAAGCAATGAAAGACACTAAATCCTTAAATGGTTCTTGATGTTGGTGTTTAATGTTATAATGTAGTAGATCATTTGATAACTTTCTGGTAGCACAGGGTCTTGTATCATTATCCAGTTTTACACATTTTATATATGTGGTTTATACACAGGGCTGTTTGCTACAAGTCCCTATGTAAGTTTTTACTGTAATGCAGTTAACATTGTATACTGTGTATTTGATATTTCCCTTCTCTGATGATATTGTAATTTTCTGCAATACTGAAATAAAAATAGTATTTTCATATTTTTTCTACCATTTTTTTACGAGGGTTTCCCTATGATCATATGTTTGCTAATACATATAAGTAAATTGTCAATGTGATTTTGAACATGCTTATGAAGTGGAGGAACTGATTTTTCATTTTTTTTACAAATCTCCACCAAAGAATTACATACACATCTTTACCTTGTTTAGTCATACAAGTGAATGTTGCAAATAGTAAGGGCATTTATATTTTTATGCCAATATTTGGTTTTTTGGGTTATGTTTGCTGACTTTCTTCATGGAGTTTAAACTTGTACCTACTATCTCTAACAACTGCAGTGATTATTATTCTGTATATCGCCATTTGTTTGACCACCTACAGTCTATATCTAGGCCTTTCTCGGCAATCTGTGACCTACAGAAATTCGGAGAAGATCAATCTCCGAACTAACCTGACACTATATTTTTATACTTTTATATGAGATGTCCCTTGTATAATTTATACATATGTTTCTCAGTGTGTATTTAACTTTATTATTGGTGCTGTTTGTTATACTGCCCCACCCCTGGGGTAAAGTGATTGGCTTTTTAATCCTATCCCATACCTTGGGAATAGCAATTTTGTTAATGTGCCACTCTCTGCGGCACAGCCACTTTGTTACCCTGCTCCACTTAGGGCAGTGTCATGTTTATGATACTGTGGCCAGTGTCACAGTGTTTATATTCTTCTGCCCCATTCCAGGGCAGGTCTACTGCTCTGTACACTGACCATCCCAGAGGTGTGGGGCAAAGTTACTGTTGGTAATGCAGCCCCACCCTGACGACATAGTGTATCCTTGGCTACAGGGGTATTGTTGCTTT